GCATAATTAGTCATCTGACTCCTAGCTGGACTGTGCCAAGAGGGCAGGGATTGCGCCAGTCTTGTTCATTACTGTTATCTGCCACATTCAGCCCAATGCCTAGTTCCGAATATGCACTCATAAGTATTGGCTGAATGAATTAATCATTTTGTTATTAGTAGCAATGGCTCTGCCACTCTGTGGGGTTAGGTATTACCATTTTCATGTTAGTTGGAAGGTACGTAATTTGTCCCTTGTTTCACTGGCTCTCAATGTTTGACTCATGTCCTTCTTCCTCACCAGAGGGCACACGAGCTCCTCCAGGGCAGGGACTGTTTCTCCTTCCTCATTTTGTTGCCACCCTCCTCCTCCAAATTCAGCTCAGGGCTAGGCACAAAGCACAGGCTGGACAGATGGGCGACTGAGGGACAAACAGAGAGTCAATCAATGTTCTCCACAACCAGATCCCTACCTATCTCCAGTCCCTCCTGGCCTCAGACTGCGATCCGGCAACACAGAACAGCAAGTGACTTCCCCTCCCGCACACCCCCCAGGCTGCTCCTTGCCTCGTGCTACCATATATGCTGCCCTTTTTGCCTGGAATGCCTTCCTCTTCTATTTACAAAGCCCAACTGATATTTTAAGTCTATGACCAGGTGTCATTTCCTCTAGAAGGCTTTCTCAGATCCCCCAGGCTGTTTGTCTTCTGGTCTCCTACAGCCCCTGTAGTTTCCTGTCTCACAGCACTGACCACCCTATTGCCACAGCTTACCCCTGACTCTGTCACAATGGGCAGGAATCATGCCTGCTCAAGTGTTCCCTGTGTCAAGCAGAGGACTCAGGATAGGGCAGATGCTCTTTGTCAAATGAACAAATAAATCCTGGAGAAAAAGAGCAGGCAGTCTGAGGCCCAAGACTGATCTCACCAGGCTTCCTTTATTAGACAGCTTGGGCTGATGAACAACTGAGGGAAGCACTCAGCAGAGGCCTAGCCCCCTGCCGGGAGAAGGGAGATGAGTAGGGGTGTTGTCTTTCACCCAGTTAGTCCTGAAGGAAATGTGATCTCCGCTGGGAGAACAGGAGGCCTCACTTTTCCCAGTCCCAGTCCTGACAACTCCTCACAGGGCTTGGCCTGAGCCTGGACAGATGTGCCTCCAGTCTGCCTTGTGCCCTAGGTTTCGGGTGAGCAGTTCCTCAGGCTCAGGTTTGGGGTAAGCACAGGAGCAGGACCACCTGCTCACACTGCTGACAGGTGGGAGGCCAGGCTTCCACTTCTGAGGAGCCAGAGATGGATGAACTTAAGTGCCTCACGGGAGAAGGGAGGAAATGGATGTTACACAGGGAGGGAGGCAGGGAGGGAGGGAGGAAGGAGAAGAGACCTGGCCTCCCTCTGATACAGCCAAGGGGAGTGTGAAAGTAAGACTCTGACCTGCTTACTTCAGGTACACTGAAAAGTCAATAAAAAGCAAAGAAAGAGTCACAAAAAACAAGTGCCACTGTGCTGTGGAACAGGGTAAAAGATGGTAGAAAACGCAACCTTGTCCCTGCCCTTCAGGAGGCACACAATCCAGCAGTTTCAGATGAAATACTGTCCACAGACTTCTTCATATAAAGACCAGTGTGGCAAGTGGCATTCAGTGCCACTTCTTCAACCTGACCTCCAGCTTTTCTTCCACAAAAGGAGCTCCCTCCTGTGACAAGCTGCCATGGCCCTTCCTAGATGACCCTTGTACTCTCCCAGACCAGAAGGAAGGTTAAGGATGAAAGTGGGGGGAAAGGGGCAAATGAAGATGAGATCACACCCAGCTGGGAGGAATCCAAGAAGGCTCTGTAAGGAAAGCAGCACTAGAGCTTTGAAAGGTGTAAGCAGAGGATAATGAACACACAGGGCAGAGGGCCGTCTGTGTGGAGGACCTGCATCCAGGGCCCACGGACTGAAGATTCCAGGGTGTCCTTGAAGAAGAAGAAGATCGAGCACCTCCCCCTTTGGGGCAGAAGAGCCTTAGGATTCTGCCCTTCACTATCCAGAACTTTCCCAAGACTCTGGGGCTAAGGACAGGAGCTGGGGGAGGGCAAGTAGAGACAGGCACAGTACAGAGCCCTAGAGAGGTCAAGTGGGGAAGAAGGGTAAAGGACAATATTATTTACTAGGTCTGAGTTTTGTTCTAAACACTGCTATCATTGACCATACCAATCATATACACGGTGACCCAATCATATGTAACCTACAGTCATGCGCTACACAGTGATGTGTCGGTTAACAATAGACTGCATTTAGGATGTGGTCCTATAAGATTATAATGAAGCTGAAAAATTCCTATCCCCTTGTGACACTGTAACTGTCTCAACATCACAGTGCAACAAATTACCTTTTCTGTATTTACATATGTCTAGATACACAAATACTTACCATTGTGTTAGAATTGCCTACAGTATTCAGGACAATAATGTGCTATACAGATTCTTAACCCAGGAGCAACAGGCTATACCATACATAGATTAGGTGTGTGGTGGGCTATTACCATTTAGGTTTGGGTATACTCTATGATGTTCACACAGTAATGAAATTGCACTACTCAGAATGTGTCCCTATTGTTAAGCAACGCATGACTGTATGTGTAAATTTAAAAAAGAAAAAAATGAGCATGGGATTCTATCCTGCTATAGGCAGGTCTGTTGGGTAGAGGTAAGAGCCCAGGACACAGAGTAAGAAATAAAGAGCAGCAGGAACCACCTGTACAGAGTCTAGGGTACAGAAAGGCTGAATAAGGACCTGCTGTAGGAATTCCAGAAAGTTTCCTTCTAGCAAGGATAGTCAGGCTCCCTCTACCCCCACCTGCAGTGCCCAGCAGAGGCCCACTCATTCTTTCATAATCAAGAACTGCTTTGGGGGAAGGGGAGGGAAGGATGTCCTCCTTCAGGCCTTCATCATCTTGAATCTGTCTTACTGAAACAGAAGCAGCCTCCTAACAGATCGGCTCTCAGCCTTTCCCCAATGCAGTCCATCCTTCATTGCTCTGCAAGTCAGCCTTAACTGGGTCATTCCCCTGCTCAAAAACTTCCCACGTCTCCCCACTGTGTATAGAGTAAGAGTTCAAAACTCCTCACCCTGGGCATGGCAGGCCTTGCACATTCCAGCTGCTCTCAGACAACCTTCCCTCTTTCCTGACACTGTACAAATCCCACCTCAGGAGCATCAACATATTCTGCAGGCCCAGCAGCCAGCCAGCATCTGCTTCCCGCCTTTGCTCAGCTTGCTCCCAGCTCTGTGGTCTTGTATGAGATGGGCGCTGAGGGCAGGTCTGTGCCTTGCTCATCTCTGATGTCCTCACGTGGAGTGAAGGGAGATCCTGACAGGGTCATCCTGACCAAGTGAGGTGGGACAAGAGGAGGCAGGAGAAAAGCAGGCTACAGCCTGGGGATACACGTGAAAAGCCCCCACAGACACTATCCACATGAGAATGAATGTTCAGAAAAATTGTCTGAATCACACATACACTGTTAAGTTCAATTACTTTCTGTATTTTGGAGGTGGGTGTTTAATTGCTATTAGAAAAACATGTATTTGAAAGAACTAAATAATCAATGCTTGGCAGCTCAATGGAATAGGGTAGTGGCATCCCCTGGGGGATGGAAGAATGGATTCCCAACATTGCTGCTCTGCAAATGTACTGCCAAAAGGGGAAAGCCGCAGCCTGGCAGCCCTCAGCAGTAGCCAACAGGTGATTCCAGGGTCAGCAAGGGTCAGTTTCCATACTCGTAACTCCCTTGCACTGCAGCAGAATGAAGCAAGGCACATCTGTTTCTCGAGGAATGAACATGCCACACACAGCCTGCAGTTATGAATGGCTCTTATAACAACAGGATGACATCTGTGCTTGGTTTTTAAGATGCATCATTGCATGTTTATTAAACTATTGCTCCATCATATTTATTTGGCTACAAAACAACTCCCAGCCCATACTTCCAAAAGTGGTTTATTAAAAACTAAGGCTTGAACATTAACACTCAAAAGCACTCTTGAGAATCAATAATAATACTGCAGATAAAATGAAAGGGAATCAAAGCAGTAAGTCTTGGTGGGGCCATGGCTGCTTTTCAACATTTTCTTGTATGTTCAGGAAGCTGAAGTGGGGAAGAACGCTAAGGGCCTGTAGCACTGGGTGTGGAAATAGCCACCCCAAGACCTGACTTCTTGTCTAACATGCGGACATGATGGCAAGGAAGGGCGGTGTCCTGTGGCCACCTAGTTCTATATAAAGGGCCAAGAGAGGCCAAGGTTAGGCCCAGTGGGGGCCAGTAGTTTCAACAAGAATAAGACCTCTGCCATTCTGCCCTTAACCAATAGCCCTGTAACTGATGCCCCATGCTGGCCCCAGTCTGAGCATCCATCCTGGACACAGACTCTGCCCTGTACCTGGCACTGGGTTGAACCTAGTTGAATCTTGCCCTTGCCGAATAATAAGCCTCAAATTCAACCTCCCAGTGGTCACTGGGGACTAGCTGAGCCAGTGAAGCTACAGAAATGCAGTCTGTCCCTGGGCAGAGCCAGGTATGGGCCCCTGGCCCTGAAGGCGGGCATTTCTAGCCCCAGACCTTCTGGCAGATGGTCTCTTCCAACTCTGTCTCAAATCCCCAAGCCTTTCCATAGATGCCCACCTGCAACCTGTCCAGTCAGCAAGCAGTAACACGTGGCCATCCCCAAGGAAACGAGAACAAATCAGAAGATTCAGAGAAGAACTCAAAGGATGTGGGGGTCGGGGGGAGTCCAAACCAACCCAGTGAAGAACAAAATAGCTGAAGGATCCAGGGATGTTTGGGAGCTGACTCCCTACCGAAAATATCTAAGGGGTGATCTGGGTCAAGGGAGCCCAGGTGACTCTGTGACTACAGAGATGTCACACGGGACAGTTCCCAGCTTAGGGTGAGGATTTCCTCTAAAGCAAAGTCATCACACAAGAAGAGGCCTGCCCTGCTCAGCCTCTCTTGTCAGGGAGAGCGAGGCCTGGGGTTCAACTCACCTGGTGACTTCTTGCACATTGTTGGCACGGGCAGCTTCCAACAGGGCTGCATCTGAAGAGAAAGGGGGCACTGGTCAGATCCGTGGCCAGGACACACCTGCCTCGGGACTGCATGGAGGGCCCACTAAGACAGTAGCAGTACTTTAGAAACATGGACTTTAACTAGCAAACTGATGCCACAATATATAACGAGAAAGCTAATCATTCCCTTCCCACATGGTGGCCACTGTTAACAACCTGACTTCCACACCTTTCTACTATAGAGCCCAAACTCTTAACTCCTCTCATCATAGAGGGAATGCATGTCAACTGCTAGCACCACGTCTGCCTATGGTAAACAGTGTGCTCTTCATAATCTATGAAGCTCTGCATAATATGTTTTATGTTCCTGTAAGAGTTATTACTAACCATTCCCTGACCTTGTCCACTTTCTCCCTCAACTCTAGTTCTTCAACCCAGTTCTGAATCTTGATGTCAAAAGTCATAAACCCAAAGGGAAACGTAGAACGAGGGGAGCAAGCAGGGTGCAGGTCTCTCTGAGGATGCAGAAGGCCTCAACTAGGAGTCTTTGAGATCTGGCTCCATTCCACTCCCACTACTCACCACGTGACCATGACAGCTCTTCTCCCTCTCAACCACAGCTTCCCTGACTGCAAAACACAGACAAAACTCCTTGCCCTGCCAGCTTCACAAGGATGTCAAGGAGATGAAATTACGGTTGAGACGTTTGCAAACTCCCCAGTGCTAAGCACAGGAAAGGGAGACCCAAAGCAGAGATTCTGGTTAGGAAACACCAAGCCTAGAAGAAAAGTAATGCTAGCTAAGTCAGTTTGGCCTGGTCTGGGCAGCCTGCAGGCTGTTGCCACCACCTTGTGGCCATAGAGAAAATTGGATTGACTCAGAAAAACTCAAAAGTCAACAGGAGAGGCACAAATAGCTCAATATCAGGTACATGGAACCCTCTGTGCCCAGCCTGGTTGTGAGCTACACTGCTGGGCACTGAACGGACTTATAGCCAGCCCTGACTCAGGGAACTCTCAGTCCAGCCAACAGACTCACCCATGAGCAAATGCACTGGAGTGGAGTGAAAGAGCAGGATCTGGAGACAGTCAGACCTGGGGTCTAGCCCGGCTCTGTCGCGTATTTGCTGTATGACCTAGCACACTTATCTAACCTCCTGAGCCTGAGTTTCCTTATCTGTACGATACACCTTATCATGCATATGAAAGCCAGTCCTGTGGTTCAGACACTGATGCCTCCTGGCCTAGATTCCAGTGACAGGTCCTTTCTACTTACCTCACCAGATGTACCCAAAGCACATACCCAAGCATGGCTCAGACAGCCACCAGCTGGGAGGGGATCAAGACTTCCTTAGAGATGGCTGTATCCACTCTCCCCTCACTCTGCAGAAAAAAATGTGGCTTCTACAAGGTTACAGAGTGAGGAATGAGCTAAGAACCAGGGCCTCCTTGCTTCCAAAGGGGTTCAGTTTCTATCACACTGCACTGAGGGTCAAAACTCTAATTCAAGGGGACAGGGTAGCTGGCAAGTCAGTTCCAGCAGGAACTGGTCACGGCTTTGACCATTATCTATTATACACAGAGCCTGGTATTCTTGCTGGAGTTCATAGGCCACAAAGTCCAGTTTGGAACCCCCAGGAACTTCTTAGGCAAGACTTCACCAAATACACTGGACTCAGAACATTCCCTGCTCATGAACCTTCCATGACTCTTCACTGCCTACAGAAGAAATTCCAACACCCTCACCCACCCCACCCCTGACTGGCATCCAAGCCCCACTCCATCTGCTCTCATCTAATTCCAAAGACCTTATCTTCCAACCAAGCTGGCCACTCAGAAAGCCCCTGCTCACACCATGGTGTCCTGAAACTCTAATTTCCATTCCCTGAAGCCTTTGCATGGAATATAATCCAAGTCTCACACATTTATTGAGCACCTACTAAGTTCCAGACACTGTGATGGACAAATGATGTCTAGGTATTAGGGAAAGTTGCTGGTATAACCTGAAAAAACAAAAGAGAAGATACATTTCCTGCTCTCATTGGGCTCACAAGGTCACTCTCCTTTTCATTTCTACTTCATCCTTCAGAACTCAAGTTCGAATTTCCCATCCTCTGGGGTCTCCAATACTCCAGGAAGGCTTTCCTGACCCTACTGGCCCTCTGATCCCCCAACAACACACAGCACCACTCACCAGCCCTACATTCCAACTACCTGCACTATCCCCTTGACTGATTTTGTGTTAAGTTAGGACTTCCCACACACCTAGCCTAAAACTAGACGCACAGTGGGTACCCCCAAAAATGCTGGAAGTTACAGGATTACAGCATGCCTAAGCTAGATGCCCTTAGCGTCTATGTCAACACGCTCATTTTGTAGATGAGGAAACAGAAAACCACTGAGGAGACGCAAGTCCAAATTCACAATGAGAGTTAGACACAGAACCAAAACAAGATCCCCAGTGTTCTCTCTTCCAGACCAAAGTCTTTCCTTTACAACTGGCCACATCAAACGAATGGAAGTCAAAGCACTCCCCACTTCCCCATTCTTGCTCCAAATTCTCAGAGCTTGGGGTGCACGGAATCTATGGACACCATGCCTCAGTCTGTCTTCTTGATGAATGACTAAGAACCTGAATGGCTGGATTCACATAGGTCATAAGTCTGGCTCTCCGTCCACTCTCTCAGCTGCTGCTTAGCTTCATGGATCCAGATGAGATGCTAATCAGGATCAGCCAGTCCCCCAGCAGTTGCCCTTGGGCCTCCAGGAATCCACCTTCCTTCTCCTGCCAACTACCCCACATGGCAAGATCACCTAACAGCATGTGAGACCAGACATAGCAAAATCCTGACACTGACAGACTCAGGCCGCTGAACTCCAAAAGGAATCAAAATAACAGTACTGTAAAAATGTTAAGAAATTATCCTTCACTATATAAATAAATTGGCCAGGAGCGGTGGCTCACACCTGTAATCCCAGCACTTCAGCAGGCCGAGACAGGTGGACCACGAGGTCAAGAGATCGAGACCATCCTGACCAACAGCTAAAAACACAAAAATTAGCTGGGCATGGTGGCGCACGCCTGTAGTCCCAGATACTCGGGAGGCTGAGGCGGGAGAATACCTTGAACCCAGGAGGCAGAGGTTGCAGTGAGCCGAGATCGCGCCACTGCACTCCAGCCTGGCGACAGAGAGAGACTCCATCTCAAAAATAAATAAATAAATAAATAAATAAAGGTCAAGCTGGCATTAGAACCGAGTCAGGTTCTTCCTGACTCTAGCACGTTTGGTGACGGGGGTTGGGGGGGGCAGTCTGGCAACTTCTCTAAACCATCTAGAAGTTGCCCTTAAAACACCCCATAGTTTCCGTTTCCTGGAGATCTCAGGAAGGAGGAATTGGACCACGCAGAATATGAGAAACGTAAGGGGACCATGCTGTAATATTAGATGTTTAGTCCAAGATCCCCATTGTACAGATGGATAAAATGATGCCCAGAGAGGGGAGGCGGATCTATGATAGGAGATTATACAACTCTGAGATGATGAGGTCTCTAGGGCAACACCCTGCCCCTATAACCAGATGATGTCTGAGTCCCTCCAAGACTTAGGCTCTAAAGATCTAAACCTATAAGTACCTCCCACCCTCCTAAGATACGAAGTTAGGACAATCTTCCCGCCTCTCCCTTCCTCAGATCCAGATCTCATAATCACCCTTGTTGGACGGACTCTTGCTGTAGCAATGAACAACCAGCGCTGTGGCCAGGGCCCACATGCCCAGTCCGGCCCTGTTGGGGACCCCGTTCCAGCTGTCCTGTCCTGGAAGTGTTTCTTCGGGGCCAAGAAGGCGTCCCCAAGTGGCAGCCGCGAGGCATTTGGTATCGAAGCGTCCTCCCTGGCGCCCCCCGGTGGCTGCCCCGCGTCCGGAGAACAAGGCCGGCGATGTTCCAGGGCGCCCCCCGGCGGCTGCCCTCAGCCACTGCGGCTCCCCGAGACTCCCAGTGGTCACATTCCGGCCGGAAGCACCTCCATGGCCCCGGAGCGTTGGGGACCTGAGCAGCCGGAGGAGTAGCCGTGGCGCCAGTGCTTTTCTCCTCAACACCAGGGACCCCAGCATCGTGACAGCTGCTTCGATAACCCCGTGGTGCCGGCCCCTGTGCTGGCCACGTCCAACATGGCTGCCGCGGCGCGTTCGAAGACGCCGCGAACAGGGTGGAGTTGCGCACTACCTCACGGGAGGGGTAGTCCACAGCCCTAAGCCTTTTCCCAGCTGGAGAACAAATAAAATACGCTTCCCAGAAGGCTGTGGGATTACGTCACAATGACTGCGGACTTATAGGAACCCGGGGCATGTTGGGAAATAGAGTTCGGGTGAAGGGGCGTGGCGATTAGAGCTAAAGATTAGAATCCCACGATTTCTTTCCTAGTTTAGTTGAAGCACACGACACAATTTTTTTTTTTTTTTTGAGACGAGTCTCGCTCTGTCGCACAGACTGAAGTGCGGTGGCGCGATATCTGCTCACTGCAACCTTCGTCTCCTGTGTTGAAGCAGTTCTCCTACCTCAGCCTCCGGAGTAGCTGGGATTACAGGCGCCCGCCACCACGCCCAGTTAATTTTTGTATTTTTAGTGGAAACGGAGTTTCACCACGTTGGCCAGGCTGGTCTCTTAACTCCTGACCTCAGGCTATCCGTCCGCCTCTGCCTCCCAAAGTGCTGGAATTAGAGGCGTGAGCCACCGCGCCCGGCCCACAATATAATATATATGTATTTTGTTAGTTTGTTTTGTTTTGAGACGGAGTCTCGCTCTGTCGCCAGGCTGGAGTGCAGTGGCGCGATCTCGGCTCACTGTAGCCTCCGCCTCCTGGGTTCAAGCGATTCTCCTGCCTAAGCCTCCCGAGTAGCTGGGCGCTCGCCACCACGCCCAGCTAATTTTTGTATTTTAGTAGACACAGGGTTTCATCATGTTGGGCAGGATGATCTTGATCTCCTGACCTCGTGATCCGCCCGCCTTGGCCTCCCAAAGTGCTGAAATTACAGGCGTGAGCCACTGCGCCCGGCCCGAGGCACTCAAATATTTTTTTCAGTGAATGGATTACTCTCACCTTATTAGTGTGGGAGAGTATATGAGCTTTGGCATTCAGGCAGACGTGGATTTTAATTTTGACTCTTGCATTTACATGCGTGACCTTGGATAAACTCCCTTTACCTCTCTGGTAGTTAATTCCTCATTATTGTTGAAGATAATTCCTACCTTCAAGATGATTGCTTGTATTAAATAAGATAATATGTAGAATGCCCGTAACACTGTCCCTGGCTCACAGTAGGTCTTTAAGAAATGGTAGCTATCATTGTATTCTCTGCTCTGTGTATTCTACACTTCCTCCAGGCAAATACAGAACTTCTCATTTCCACATCCCTTAGTAAGACAGGAATGAATGAACGACTATTATTTTGGTATTTTTTTTTTGAGACAGGGTCTCACTCTGTTACACAGGCTGGAGTACAGTTGCCACTGCAGCTTCAACCTCCTGGGCTCAAGGGATCATCCCATCACCTCAGCCTTCTGAATAGCTGGGACCACAGCTGGCACCACTGCGCCTGGCTAATTTTTTGTTATTATTATTACTTGGGTAGAGACTAGGTCTTGCTATGATGCCCAGCCTGGTCTGAACTCCTGGGCTCAAGCAGTCCTCCTGCCTCAGCCTCCTAAAGTGCTGGGATTAGAGGCATGAGCCACTGCGCCTGGCTTTAATAACTTTTTTTTTTTGAGATGGAGTTTGGTTCAAGTTGCCCAGGCTGGAGTGCAATGGTGCGATCTCGGCTCACCGCAACCTCCACCTCCCAGGTTAAAGCGTTTTTCCTGCCTCAGCCTCCACAGGCATGCGCCACCACACCTGGCTAATTTCTTTTGTATTTTTAGTAGAGACGGGATTTCTCCATGTTAGTCAGGCTGGTCTCCAAACTCCCAACCTCAGATGATCCACCCGCCTCGGCCTCCCAAAGTGCTGGGATTACAGGTGTGAGCCACCGTGCCTGGCCTTGAATAACTATTTTTAAAGCATTTTTAAGGCCTGGCGCGGTGGCTCACGCCTGTAATCCCAGCACTTTGGGAGGCCGAGGCGGGTGGATCACGAGGTCAGGAGATCGAGACCATCCTGGCTAACATGGTGAAACCCCGTCTCTACTAAAAAACACAAAAAATTAGCCGGGGGCGGCGGCGGGCGCCTGTAGTCCCAGCTACTTGGGAGGCTGAGGCAGGAGAATGGCGTGAAGTCGGGAGGTGGAGCTTGCAGTGAGCCCAGACCGTGCCACTGTACTCCAGCCTGGGTGACAGAGCGAGACTCCATCTCAAAAAAAAAAAACACAAACCATTTTTAAAGCACTCAATAATGAAAGCATTTTGACCTTTCTGTTTTGAGAGGTTTTCAGTACATACTATTTTGTTAACCACCTCATTCACTATAGCAACTTCACTTTCCCTGTATTCTTGAAACATTTCTGCCTCCCAACTTAGGGTGGTCACAGCAGGAATATCAGTCTCTGAAAGCTCCCATTACCAGATGCAGAGTTCAAACCCTTTCATTGAAGACACATCCCAGGGCCCTTCAGTTTACTTAGCAATGTATAACTTTCAAAGCACTTCCCCATTGATTCTCTCATTTGATTTTCACAGATACCATCTGCGAGGGGTTCAAGGAAGGGTTTAATTACTATCAGTATTTGGTAGGGATACTGAAAAACTATGTAGTGAGAAGTATGGAAACACCCATCAGGGTCGTATGTGCTTGCTCACGTGCCTGTAATCCCAACACTTGGGGCAGGAGTTTGAGACCAGCCTGGGCAACATAGTGAGATCACAGTCTCTGCAAAAAATACAAAATTAGCCAGGCATGGGAGTGTACACCTATGTAGTTCTAGCTACTCAGGAGGCTGTGGCAGGAGGATCCCCACACTACTGCACTTCAGTCTAGGCAACAGAGTGAGACTCTGTCTCCAGAAAAAAGAAAAAATAAATAAAATTAAAAACAAACCAAAAAAACCCACCCATTAGAATCAGCTGGGACTCAGAGTGAATTCCATATGGTCAATAACCAATCCAGGGCCAGGCACAGTGGCTCACGCCTATAATCCCAGCACTTTGGGAGGCTGAGGTGGGAGGATCACTTGAGGTCAGGAGTTCAAGACCAGCCTGGGCAACATGGTGAAACCCCCTCTACCAAAGATACAAAAAATTAGCCGGGCGTGGTGGTACGTGCCTATAATCCCAGCTACTCGGGAAGCTGAGGCAGGAGAATAGCTTGAACCCAGGAGGCAGAGGTTGCGGTGAGCCAAGATCGCGCCATTGCACTCCAACCTGGGTAACAGGGTGCGACTCCATCTCAAAAAACAAACACACAAAAAAGTCTTAGGTCACATTTTAACAGATTTCAACTCAGGATGGCTTCCTTTTGGTCTGCTCAGAAAGCAAGAATTTATATCAGGTTCCAATTACCCCACCTTGGCCCTAAGCTTCTGTTAGGTTGGGAGACAGAAAACTCCAGTTTTAGTTTATAATAGGATAACTGGGGGATATCTAAATGGGGTTTAGGAGGAGGCAGAAAGTGAAGAATCAATGCAGTTCCTATGGTCAGCTACCTCTGGCATGGAGTTGTAGGCCATTTGGTACTACACATTCTAATAAGTTTCTGGGAAAAAACTTTTCCAGAAAAACAAAACAACAACATACGCATACATTTTTAAACAAATAAGTAAATAGTAGCTGGGCTTTTCACTGTTTGAGAAAGAAGTTATAAATAGGGAAAAAAGAAAGCTAAAATGAACCTTGTGGTATTGAATTGGATTCAGATGTATCAGCATAAACTCATGGCTTTAATTTTATTTTTACTTTATTTATTTATTTTTGAGACGGAGTCTTGCTCTGTCACCCAGGCTGGAATGCAGTGGCGCGATCTAGGTCACTGCAACCTCCGTCTCCCAGGTTCAAGTGATTCTCCTGCCTCAGCCTCCTGAGGAGCTGGGATTACAGGGATGTATCACCACCCAGCTAACTTTTGTATTTTTAGTAGAGACAGGGTTTCACCATGCTGGCCAGGCTGGTCTCGAACCAGCCTGATTGGTCTCAATTGGTTATTGACCATGTGGTTTTGCCATGTTGGCCAGGCTGGTCACAGAGTCCTGACCTCAAGTGATCTGCCTGTCTCGGCCTCCCAAAGTGCTAGGATTACAGGTTAGAGCCACCACGCCCAGCCATAAAACTCATGGTTTTTAAAAATAGATACAGACAGATCAATACAGAAATATAAATATGTAAGCATGTATGGGTTCGTGTATTACATATATTACCTAGCCTCTGGGAGGGTCTAGAAGCAATTACACCCTAAAAACTGAACACACCTAACACCCAGATGTAAACAGCATTCTCCAATAAACCAGAAACCAGTTACCCTTGGAGAATGGTTGTTTTTAGGACTGGGCAGAGAAAATCCAAAATGTGTCAACAATATCTTATGTGCCAGGAAGTCAGGAAAGGCTCAAAACCAGATGCAGGCTTGTGAAAAGAACACAGGAGCCAGTGTGAAGGAGTTCATAATGACCTAAGTGGGAACGATTTAACTGAAAAGTAATGGCCGTATGAGGTTTTGATCCACAGAGTAAAACAAACATGATATAAATAATCAAATAAATAAATAGATAAATCGGGGAGGAATGAGGGAAGAGGCAGCTCTTTCTTTTTTTTTGAGACAGAGTCTTGCTTGCTCTGTTGCCCAGGCTGGAGTGCAGTGGCACGATCTTGGCTCACTGCAAGCTCCACCTCCCAGGTTCACGCCATTCTCCAGCCTCAGCCTCCCAAGTAGCTGGGACTACAGGCGCCCGCCACCACGCCTGGCTAATTTTTTGTATTTTTAGTAGAGATGGGGTTTCACCATGTTAGCCAGGATGGTCTTGATCTCCTGACCTCGTGATCTGCCTGCCTCGGCCTCCCAAAGTGCTGGGATTATAGGCTTGAGCCACCATGCCCAATCGAAGGCAACTCTTTCTTACAGTAGAAGTTCAATCAATAAATGGAGAAGAAAGAGAGAAATAGAGAATTACCACTAGGTAAACACTGGAGTAATAAAAATTTCAGGCTGGGCACAGTGACTCATGTAGTAACTCATGCCTGTAATCCCAGCATTTTGGAAGGTCAAGGCAGTAAAGGGAGGATCACTCAAGGCCAGGAGTTCGAGACCAGCCTGGGTGACAAAGTGAGACCCTGTCTATACAAAAATATAAAATAAAAAAATTAGCTGGGCAGGGTGGCACACACCTGTAGTCCCAGCT